CGAGTGGACCTCACACATCCCGTGTGGCTTCTCCCGCCAACTGTGGCTCAGGTGCCATGGTCACATGTGAGGCCTGAGCACCAGTCTCCTCTGCCCCCGGCCCTGGACCGCTGCCCGGCCTGGAACGGCTAGGTGGGGGCCCCGGGGCAGGGACAGGGAGCTGAAGCCAGAATTCCGTCCTCTCCCATCCCAGCTCCCGCCCCAGCCAGAACTTCTGAAAACGCTTCGGGGCTTGATGCTCCAGGCGCTCAAGGAGGGCCGAGGGCCTGCACCGGGTCAGCAAGCACCACAGAAACCCTGGAAATAAGACTGGCCACAGAGAGGGCAATGAGCACAGAAAGGACCATGGCCACAGAGAGGGCCATGAGCACAGAGAGGACCACGGCCACAGAGAGGACCACAAGCACGGAGAGGACTAAGAACACAGAGAGGACCACAACCATGGAGGGGACCACAAGCATGGAGAGGACCACGGAGAGGACAAGCACAGAGAGGACCACGAGCAGAGAGAGGACCATGAGCACGGAGAGGACCACGGCCACGGAGAGGACCACGAGCACGGAGAGGACCACAGCCACAGGGAGGACCTGAGCTGCACCCTGGCTTCCCCCAAGCGTGATCCTAGCACGGAAGCCACCCACTGTCAACCTGAGCTCTTTGCTCTGGAAATCGGGGCAATGAGTCCTTGGCCAGGGGCTCCTGTGAGCGTAAGATGGAGGCAGGGCGGCAAACGCACTACAACACATTGGCCCCTGGCCAGTTCTCAGTAAACCCCAGCGAAGCGGGAATTAGGCCGTGACAGGGCCGTGGGGACGGTGAGCGCCCGAGCTCTGCCTGCACCATCTCTACCAGCTGCACTTCCTTAATTAGCCAACAACCACACGACTCCTACAGTGTGGCTACACACAGTCAGCCTGTAGAGACACGTGGGGCCGGAGCTTGCCCTGCAAGCGCCGTGCAATCGACTGAACAACGACCGCAAAAGCTCAGGCCCTCGGCCCTGGAACCCGAGTTAGTTAGAGGTCTTAGATGGGGGATGATGCTGGCGGGCCCTAAAGGCCGTTGCGAGCGTGCCACCAAGACAGGCAGCAGCAGAAGAATCCGCGTGAGGACGGCGGGAGAGGCCACAGGGATGCGGCGGCCAGGGGACGTCCTCCCCAAGAGCCCCCAGGAGGAGGGCGCCCTGCTGACGCCAGGGTTTCAGACTTCTGCCCCGCAGAACTGGCAGAGAATGAACCTGGGTTGTTTTAAGCCAGCAAGTCTGTGGCCGTGGTGATAGCAGCCCGAGGAAGGAATCCAAGCTGTGTGCCACGTCGGGAAACAGACGTGCACACGCTTAACCAGAATGCGGTGCTTTCAAGGCCCCGCTGCGCGAGCAACCAGCCCGGGCACTACTGGGGCTAAGCGCCACCCAAATCCGCAGGCTCCGCGGGCGGCCCCGAATCGGGGCGCATTGACGCAAGAGCCCCAGGGGGCCAGGACGAGCGACAGGGATGCAGACCCGAAGGGCGGTCTCGAGGTGCCCACGGCAGGACGGACAGTGGGGCCGGGCACAGGATGGCAGCCCCCCCTCGGAGGGTGGCCGCTTGGGGTGCGCAGCTACACAGAGGGGGCGTGAGGCTCGGAAAGGCTGCTCAGCAGGCTGTGCCGATGCACAGAGGAAACAGAGGCACGAGGACGGGGCCAAGGAAGCAGGTGACAATGTGACACAGGGGGCTGTGAGCATGGAGGACTGGGGCAGGCGTGCCCACTGGCCCGCACCCGAGGGTTCTGAAACACGGGCCTGGAGAGATGCACAATGATGGTAGGAAAACAAGGGGTTCAGAGTCGGGGGCCTGAAGAGAAGCTGCCCGGGTGGGGACCTCGGTTTCAGTGCCTACGGGTAGTGAGACCCCAGGCAAGAGATTTAACCCTGCCAGGTGCTCCCGAAGACCAGACCCTGCATTTGTCTTGTTCACAACTGGAACCCCAGAATGGGACTCGCGGCAGGTGCGTGAGAATGAAGGAACAGAGGCTCCTGGGTGGCTCAGTCGTTAAGCGTCTGCCTTCAGCTCAGGTCAGGATCCCAGGGTCCTGGGATCAAGTCCCTCGTTGGGTTCCCTGCTCAGCGGGGAGTCGGCTTCTCCCTCTGACCCTCCTCCCTCTCGTTCTCTCTCTCTCAAATAAATTTAAAAAAAAATCTCAAAAAAAAAAAAAAAAAGAGAATGAAGGAATAAACCGGCTCCCCTCATCCTTACAACCATGCCGTGAGGATAAGTTCTGTATCGTTAACTCCATTTTAAAGATGAGGAACCTATAAATAAAATCTTAAAAAAATAAAATAAATAACATTTAAAAATTAAATCTTTAAAAAACAAAAAACCTCTGCTCCTCCCCCCACTCATGCTCTCTCTCTCTCTCTCAAATAAATAAATAAAATCTTTTAAAACATAAATAAATAAAGATGAGGCACCCAAGTCTGAGAGGGTCAATGACTCGCTGAGGGTCACACAGCCAGAGGGATCTGGGGGTGGACTCAGGTCTGCCTCTGGCCGTCGCTGTGCCTTCCGCTTGAGTGAGAACATCCGGCGGGCAGAGTGGCCTGGCTCAGCCCGGTCACAGGCCACAGGGTCCCGGCACCAGGACTCCGGGAGCCTGCTGCTACTCCACAGCCTCGCTTGGGAAGGAAGGAGACAGAGCGGACTCCGAGAGCCTGCTGCTACTCCACAGCCTCGCTTGGGAAGGAAGGAGACAGAGCGGACTCCGAGGGTCTTCTCGGTCCCAAGGACTGAGCTTCACAGTCCCCGGGGGCCACAGCTGTGGGGGAGGGTCTCAAGCAGACACGGGGGGCCCGGGAATGCCAGAGTGGGGACGAGATCGCACAGACGGCTTCTCGGCCAGAACAGGGCGCGCAGGCGAGCGGGGGACGCGCGGAGTCCACCGGGCCTGGCTGCCCTCACCTGTTATGATGACTTCATCACCGTCCAGCAGGAACTTCCTGGTGTGTCCGTGCCCCAGCTCAATGGCCTTTGTCCCCCTCCACGACAGCTCCAGCATGCTGCCAAAGCTCTCTGGCTCCTTCGGCACAGGAAGGGGAAGAAGTCCTCACGTGTGCTTCCATCTTGGTGAGCGTGTCGGCTGCAGGGAGGACTTGGCAAAGCCGAGGGGCCCCGGGCAGGGACGGGTGGGACTCTGCGCCGGGCCCCGCTCGCGCTGTTTGGGCCTCGGGCAGTGCTGGGGCAGTGCGTCCAGGCCCCTGCCCGCCCCGGGGGCTGCAGCGTACCCAGACACTGCCATGCCTGATACCCTCCCACTGCGGTCAGGACCTTGCAGGAAGTGACTAGCACGTGCACCATCCCAAAGTCACCATCCCCTAAGGTTCTACGACTCTCCCATGGGCTTAGGGTGGCATGGGAGTGCAGGGGGCACAGCAGTGGGGTCACCTCATCCCGGGAGGGTGCATGGGAGCCGGTGACAGCCAGACACCATGGCCGCTCCCTGACGCCCCCCACATGTCACCCTGTCCCCCGAGCAGACAGATGCAGCCTCCCATCTGACAGTGTCTCTAGGTCTGGACCTGGAAAGGAAGGCCCCGTGCACCCCCCACTGGACGAAGCTGTAAGAAGGAAGAGTTGTCAGATGCACCCGCCCCGGGGGGAAGTCCCTTCTGCAGGACGCGCTCAGGGCCCTCGTGTCTGTGTGCGGAGTAGGCTGTCTGCATGGGCAGCACCCAAGGCCATGGGAGACTCACCGGCCCGCTGATGGTTCCAGAAGCCAACAGGTCCCCTGGGCGAAGGTTGCAGCCATTGACGGTGTGGTGGGTCAGCTGCTGAAGCATCGTCCAGTACATGTACTGCAGGCAGGGACACAGAGGAGGACAGGGAAGGTGGCTCACCCAAGCCTCCCGGTTGGCAGCTCACACAGCCACTCGTGGTAGACAGCCTCCCCTGGGCTCTCTCCCGGTGCCAGCTCGCCCTGGTGGCTCACAGCAACCACAGGCTGTCCTCCCGGGGTCCTCCCCCTCCCTCCCAGCTGTGCACTGGCCTGGGCTCCCGGCTCCTTCAGGCTCCGTAACCTGCCTTCTCCAAGAAGGCAGACCTTCTCCCTGCTCAGATGCTCAGTCTGCAACCTGCACCTCTGTCCGCAATCACACACTGCCTTATGAATACCCGTAGGTCCTGAGTTGGCATGCTTTAGGACCTCATCAAGCAGAGGCTTCTTGTGAGCAAAGAGCTCACTGGCATCCCCCGACCCCGACCCCGGGCCCACCCCACCTCCCTGGGCCTTGAAGCACAGAGCAAACAGGATGTCAGGCAGGCCCAGGAATGAAGGAGCATGAAGGGAGCTCCACCTGGGGAAGGGGGCCAAGGACCACGGGGTCACCAAGATGCTCAGATGCAGTGCCAGCCCACGCCTCTCCGAGCCCACAGCTTCTTAGATCTGCCACTCCCGGAGCCACATGTCTAGACGCAGGAGAACTTAGAAACGGGTTCTTGCCCAAGAGCCCCGTCGAGGAGGCCCCCTGATTCCTTAGCCGCCTAAGGAGCCCAGAACAATGTCCAGTTAGAAGGGAGACTAGAGGAAACAGGACTACGTTGATCCAGAGGATGCTCACAGGTTCAGTAAACACATGAAAAGGTGCCTGGTCGGTGGGGGGAGGCGAGACGCAAACCACCGCACCCCGAGCAGCTAAAGGGAGAAGGCGCACGGCAGCCGAGCCGGCCAGGACGTGGAGCGAGCAGTCGGGCAGCCAGGATGCTGGCGGGCTCTGGGCTGCATACGGGCTGGCTCGAGCTCCTCGGGAAAGTGTCTGGAAGCCCTTCTGGGCTGAGTATATAGACGTAAGGGCTCTGAGCAAAGGGCCCAGCGACTGCGCTCCTGGATACACAGCCAACTGGAAAGTGCCCGTGTGTGCACCAGGATGTGTACTGGATTGTTCCCAGGGAGTCTAGACTCGCCGCAAGTGGGAACAACGCACACGTCCGCCAAGAGCGGAGAACCAGCAGTGGAACGTCTCCGAGACAAGAATGAAGCCCCGCTAGGACCAGCGCACGGCCGGACCGCAGGGCCACAGTGCGGAGCAAGGGAAGGTGGAGGGAGGGGAGCACACACTGCGCCCTTCCATTTCCATAAAACCGAAGAACAGACCAATTTCGTGCACGGCCACACAAGTCCGGAGAGAGGTCCCCCTTGCAGGGGGAGGGGGTGGCGACGACGTGACTGGAGGGGGACAGTGGGGGGCAGTGGAGGCCCTGCAAATCTCCATTCCCTGGCCCCGCTGCTGGCCACGCAGGGACGTTGACTTTGTGAAAGTTAATTTAGAATTTGTGCTTTTTCCTCTGTGTGTGTTAGGCTTCAATGAGAAGCTCAGTTAAAACAAACGTTAAGTCACTCGGATCAATCCATTCCCCGCCAGGACAGAAGCAGCCAGAGACTAGACCCTTATAGGAACATCGATTGGTCCCCCAAGGAAATCACCGGTCACGTCTACACAGCCTGCATCTGGAGGGATCCCTGTGGCCTCGTGGCCTCTCTGGAAAGGAACAGGGCCACAGAAGCTCCAGGCCTGCGCACCGAGCCACCACAGTATCCCAGAATGGCTGCAAGCCTCCTGTTCTTGCCGGGAGGATGACGCCGAGTCCCGCACTTCCAAGAGGCAGTCTGCCCAGCTTCAAAGCTCACCTTAAAATTGGACTTGCAGATGGTGGCTGCCTGGCGCATTCCTTCTCCTGTTGGAAACACAAGTAGCATCAATAAGGGGACTTCATGGATCAAGAAGGGGGGGGGACACTTGTAAGGGAAACGGTCGTGTGGCCCGTGAAGCAGTGAGCTCACAGCACATCGGAGCTGGGGATCTGCACCGAGGCGATCACCTGAGACAGTGCGCACGTCGAAACCTACCCGCCCCTCCCCCAGACGGGCAGCGTCCGGTTTACGATGTACTTCAGTGGTATTTATCATAAACAGGCAAGGCACCAGGTCACTGCTGTTCCGTTTCCCCACTGTGCTCACACCCAGAAAGCCCTTTGCTCCCTCAGAATCCTTGGCCCTGGCTTCCCCTCCGAGGCCGCAAGGACAGGTGTGCTCCTTGGCCCCAGGTCAGGTCAGGGTCCCCACGCCGGCTCCGGCCCACACCTGTCACCCAGATCCCCACTGGGGCCGTCAGAACGGCACGCTCGGGACTGGGGAGGGGAGGGGGTCTTGGAAGCCAATCCTGCTCCCAGTCCTCCCCTTCTAGGTCTTTCTACATCTCCGGACACCGCGCCTTCTTGATAATCCTGTCCCTTCCCCAGTGGGGCATTCCCCTGGATGTTTCCAGGCAGGCAGATGAACCTAAGACAGAAATGGGCCCCCAGGAGGGTCTGTGTGTAGGAGGAGACCAGCCCAGATCCAGTGACACCAGGTTTCCTCTCAGCCTGGCCAGTAGCCCCCGAAGTGACTTGGGGTGAACCCCTTGTCCTCTCTGAGCTTCATTTTCACACAGCGTATAAATGAAAGGACAGGGCCACCATAGATCTCCAGAGGACACTATGCTGCAGCTGTGGGACATTTCCTAAAGCCCCTTCCTCTGTGGGGCATCCTGCTCCCGCGGTGACAGCTCTGTCCCCTTCTGCAGGGGAACCACCTCCATGAAGGGCGGGGACGCTGGAGCGGGCAGGGCATACACCGGCCAAGAGGAGGAGAGAGACCCAGGCCAGAGTGTGGCCAGGGGTCTGAGCGCGGCCCCCTGGCAAACCCTCCCCCAGCCCCAAGGGCCCCCACGAGGAACGGAAATGACACCAGCCTCTTCCTAGGGACGGGCTCTGCTCTAGACCTTTACAGAGTCCACCTCCTTAACCCTCACGACCACACCTTCAGGTCAGTGCCATTACCGGCCCATTTTATAGATGACACACTGGGGCACGGGCAGGCTCAGCCACTTGCCCAGAGCCCCCACAGCTGAGC